GAAAGGAAAGACGATTCAGCATTGCTACAGAATAAATTGTGCACCAGCCCGTCTGGCCACAGCACACATTCGCACTGCCTTCAGGTCCAGCTGCACATCCCTGCGTGGAAAGCAGGTAGCCAGTTTACGTGGTCACATGGTTTACCCTGCAGGTAAACTCCACATACCTGTCGCCCACCAGAGTAAGCTCGTACTGGGAAACCACGAACAGGCCGGAAGCATCAATCCACTGGCCAAGGCCAACAGAATGGCGCCTCTGTAAAAAAGGACATGACGTACAGGAAGACGTTTGATACCAGGAGCAGCTCACGGACTCAGACTGAGATAGAAATACACCTCCTGCGTCTAGGCACCGCCAGGAGCTAGGGTAAGCGTGACCCCACCGCGGTGTGGAGCCCTCCGGGAACCGACATTGTGCGTATTCAGGACACGGAACACTAGGAGCTCCAGCCGAGGTAAACGCGCGGTCCCTCTGTCAGTGCAAATGCAGGGACTGAGTCTTCTCACAGCCATGGTCTAACGGTCCCTCCGTGCAAATGAAGGGACTGAGTCTTCTCACAGCCATGGTCTAACCCGCCGTAGCCGTGGAACCTTTCAAATGACGACCAGAGACAGGAAGGGGGAAGCCACTGGGGATCCTTTCTAATTAGTTTGCCTTTTTACGTTTTTTTTTCCTACCTTGGAACTGCTTTTAACTGTAGTCTCTGCCATTCGAAGACCAGTCTGAGTCGTGCAAATGAAGGGACTGAGTCTTCTCACAGCCATGGTCTAACCCGCCGTAGCCGTGGAACCTTTCAAATGACGACCAGAGACAGGAAGGGGGAAGCCACTGGGGATCCTTTCTAATTAGTTTGCCTTTTTACGTTTTTTTTTCCTACCTTGGAACTGCTTTTAACTGTAGTCTCTGCCATTCGAAGACCAGTCTGAGTTTGATAAATAACTGATAGTTTCGTGTTTTTCAAAACCTCCACCAGGTGTTCCATTCTTTTGCTACTTCAACAAAAACTTATAGGAATAGAGGGGAAAAGGATTTGAACTAAACTGTAAGGGGGGAACCCAGCTGCTATGCTGAATACAACAGAGTATTATATTAAGTAGCTATAATATAAATTAAGCTAAAAAACACAGTCCTTGAAGCCAGCAGGTGGCACAGTAGTTATGACACTAGACTCCCACACAGTAAATTGAGGTTCAAGTCCCAGACCCGGCAGCTTGAAAATCACACAGGGTGCATGTGTAGGTGTGCTCAAAACCCCAGGAGGAGACTGGAGAAGGGACTGCAGCATGGCCATCCCCCTGGGGGGTGATTTCTCACTTTCTCTCTCACTGTCTCTCTGTTTCTCTCCACAAGCACATGCACCCTATGGAAAAAATCTAAAACCAAACAAAAAAAAACACAGCCCTTACTAGAGACCAGGTGCCATCTGAATATTTTTACCTGTATCATTTTTCACAAATTCCCATGAGTCTATATAAATGCTATTGTTACCCCCATTTTGCAGAGAAGACTGGGGAAAGGGCAGCTAAAGAGCCAGCCTGAGGTCACACACAGAGGACTGACACCCCAAAACAGACCTCAGCCTCCAGGGGGAGGGTCTTGGCCCCTTCACTGCCGGCCCTGTCTCCCCAAGGCTGAGGGTTCCCCAAAGCTACGGAAGGCCAGATGTGACAAAAGGCCATGAAGTCCAGGCTGGCTCTTTTGCTATTCCCAAGTCAACATCAGATGTTTATGAGCATCCGCTACAGGCCAGGCTGTGTTGTAGGTGCTAGGACTGCTTTCACTGGAAGGCCCACACTCTGGCGGGACACAGGGCAACGCCGTTAGTAAACAGCAGGATATCTGAGATGGAACCCACTTTCCACGGCTGTGTGAGGTGGGGGGAGCTTGTCCCCACCCACCCCACCTCCTTTCCCCGGGGCCCTGCAGCACCCACTGAAGGGGGCCTCTCTCCCTCTTCCCCCCATCAAAACGCATCGATGACCTTCCCTAATGTGGAATTGGGTTTTAGACTTGTGACAGCAATTCCCACTCTGAAGGCAGAGGGCGATGAAGGTCTAAGACAGCGTTTGTCAGACGGGGTCCTCAGAGACACCGCTGTAACATCCCACAGCTGTTCTGGGGACAAATGCCATCGGAGAAACAGCTGAGAATCTCCACTCTGCTCAAGTGCACTGCAGATCACAGGATCACAGAGAAAGGAACTGGTTTGATCTGGTGTCTCCCTATCCCCCACAATGACCACTGACAACTCAAGAAAGCAGCATTCCACGGAACCCGGTTTGGAAGGCACTGGATTCCCCTTCCCATCAAAGATGAGTGGCATCTCCATCTCTGATGTCTCACTCCAGTGTGTGGAACTAGGAAATGTCTAAAAATAAAACCATTTTCGGGTGAGAAAAGCAAGGCCAGTACTGTAATGTGACAAAGCCAAGCAGCCCAAAGTTGAACGAGGTGTTGCCATCAGTCAAGGACCCTGCCTACGCACCCCAAGGTCCTGGTCCCATTATCCTGCACTTGCACACAGTTTACGCTTGTTTTCAGGGGAAACTTTGGAAACAAGTCTTCAGCACAGAGGAATAAACTCCTTCTCTTGTCCTCTGACCCTTCAATCCTTCTCTTCCTTCTCTACCCTCCTCCCAAATGTGCTAGAATATTCCGGAATAAAAACATAGAGACTCTTGAGTGAAATAACATACATAGGGGCCAGCAGGTGGAGTAGTGGTGAAGGCGCTGGACTCCTACATGGCCGACCGTGGTTTGAGTCCCAGGCCTGGCAACTGCTTTCTTACTTTTCCTTCCTTTCTCTGTCTCTCTCTGGTCTAATTTAAAAATAATAACAAAGTTAAATAAATTTTTAAATCTTAATAAAAAAAAGGGACCAGCTGATGGCGTAATACTTATGTTGCTAGACTTCCACATAATCAGCCATCGTTTGAATCCCTGACCCAGCAGCTTAAAACTCATCTGGGTATGTTTGCATGCTTGTCCAAAATCCCAAGAGGAGAATGAAGGAGAAGGGATCGCAGCACGGCCATCCCCTCAGGAGGTGATTTCTTGCTTTCTGTTTCTCTGTCTCTCTCTGTCTCTCTGGGGAGCACATGCATCTTACAGCAAAAAATCTCTCTAAAAATAAATAAATAACATATATAAATGTTCTTGTTCTTGACACAGAGTCAGTAGTAAATATCCATTCCCTTGTTCATTTCCTGCCCTCGAGAAGATTAGTGCCTAGAATCTTCCTCCACAAACAATACAAGGGAACTAATAGAAATGTAAGGTAAAGAATTTAAAATATTGGGGACCAGCAGTTAGCATAATGGCTATGTCACTGGACTCCCACATAGTTGACCGCGGTTCGCGTCCCAGACCCGGTGGCTTAAAACTCACGCCAGGCACGTGTGTGTGCGTCCCCAAGATCCCGAGAGGAGAATGGAGGAGAAGGGATTGCAGCGTGACCATCCCCCCTGGGGAGTGATTTCTTGCTTTCTGTCTCTCTGTCTCTCTCTGTCTGTCTGGCAAGCGCACGCGCCCTATAGCAAAAACCTCTCAAAAAAAAAAAGAATTTAAAATATTCATAGTGACAAAGCTGACAGAGATGCAAGAGAATAGAGACAATGAACTCCAGAAAATGCAGGAGGAAAGAGACACCAAGTTCCAGGAGGACTCACACAATCTGAAAGAGGAGATACATGTCATAAAAAAATATCAAACAGAATTGTTAGAGATGAAGGCTGTAAAACTTCTGAAGAAAATATCAAAAGCATATTAGATCATGAAGAAGAGCGAATCTCAGCTGTAGAAGATGGAACCTCTGACCTAGAGAAATTCACCAAAAATAACTGAGAAAATAACCCCTCCCAAATAAATGAGAATAACATACAAGTAATACTAGACACCATTAAACGCCCAAACATTGGGATCATCGGTATTCCAGAAGGTGAAGAAACTAATAAGGGCATTGATAATCTACTCCATGAAATCCTGGAAGAAAACTTTCCAAACCTAGAGAGGCATTCAAATATCCAGACCCAAGAAATATGAAGGACCTCACAGAGAATCAACCCAAGAAGATCTTCCCCAAGGCACATCATAGCCAGAATGACCAAAACCACAGTCAGAGACAAGATACTAAAATTGGCAAGAGAGAAACATCAAGTTATTTTCAAAGGATATCCCATAAGGTTAACATCGGACCTCTCATCAGAAACAATGCAAGCAAAGAAAGGATGGGAAAATATATTCAGTGTTAAGTGACAAACAATTTCAACCAAGAATTCTATACCCAGCAAGATTATCTTTCATATGGGGAAAAAAAAGACAGAAACATTCTCAAATAAACAATATCTGAAAGAATTTACCAACACCAGACCAGCTCTCCAAGAAGTGCTGTAGGGAGTGCTCTACCAGGAAAACTAAAGTCGGACACACAGAAATAGGAGTACAAGAAACAACCAAGAGAACGGCCAGCCTAACGGGAGGGACAAGTCTGGAGTTGAATATTAACTTCCAGAGTTTAAATGGAAAGATCAGACCACAGGAACACTGCAAATTCAGTAAAAGAGAGATTAATTACATGAGTCTAAACTAGTGAAATAGAAATTTTTACTTTAGACTAAAACATCACTGATTTTCTTCTATGCTTTGATTTCCATATTTAAGGATTTCTGTCTTCTCTTGAACTGTTGACAGGTTCATCTACGTACTGTTTAAATTGACTCCTGACCTTTTTCTTGGCTTTAAGTTTTAAGCAAATTCTTCATAACATTTTATTTATTTTGATCTACTAAAACTAAAACATTTTTTGAAATTTAAAAATGCATTAAAAATACCTATGAATACCTATTTAATGACTACAGTAAGCTCTATATCCCCAGTGAGGTACTACTTTATAGTATGTTCACTTTACTCAGTGAGGTCTATGCCTAAAGTCAGACACGTCTCATGTCGCTTTCTGTCTCTCTGTCTGTCTCTCTCTTTCTGGTGAGCGCACGAGCCCTATAGCAAAAACCTCTCCAAAAAAAAAAAAAAAAAAAAAGGCATGGAAAACAACTGCTCATACCAGACAGTGTGGGAGAAGAGGGAGAATTGGCAGAGAGTGAGAGATAGGGAATCAAAGGGAGGGGGGAAAGCAAAGTACATAAGAAACAAGAAATAGGAAATAATTTGTTGATGATAACTGCATGGTAACTGCCTTGATTGAGCCAATATACAGTCTATACTGGATGGAGATCTCATTTCGTATACTGTATTGATGTACAGTGAATAAATACATAAATGGAAAAAAATTTTGAGAGGTTTTTCGCTATAGGGCGCATGCGCTCGCCAGAGAGACAGAAAGCGAGAAATCACCCGCCAGAGGGGATGGCCATGCCACAATCCCTTCTCCTCCATTCTCCTCTTGGGATCTTGGGCACGCATGCACCCGCGCCTGGCATGAGTCTTAAGCCACCAGGTCCGGGACGTGCCACTGGGTCCAGACGCAAACCGCAGTCAACAACATGGGAGTCCAGCGACATAGCCATTACGCTAACTACTGGTTCCCTAAATGGAAAACTTTTTTAACAACACTTTATAATACAGAGTGATGAGGTGTATAACACATACAAAGATGAATTGATTCAGAGTAACCTGCGGCATGAAGAAGGGAGCCATGTGGTAACCAGGGAGAACATCACCGAGTGGATGGTCGAACTGGGTTTTGAAGGGTGAATAGGGGCTGGCCAGGATGACAAGGCAGAAAGCAAAGCCCATGTGGAGGAACCAGCACGTCTTGGGGCGGGCACTGAACAGCCTGGCTCTCCCAGAGACCCACAAGTGATCTCGGCGCAGGGAACACGTGGAAGAGCAGGTCAGAGGCCAGGCCCCACCTCCCTTGGATAACAGAGGGCAGAGACTTCCCCCACGGGTGGAGGAAACTGCTGAGAGTTTTACGTAAAGGAAAGATGGAATCAGATGTGCATTTTAGTTATTATTTTTAAGGTGTATTTATTGGTTTCCTCCAAGAGTGAGAGTCAGACAGCACCTCTAACAGGGTCCTGGCACCGCAGCCACGGCGACCCACCAGCCTCAGCCGCCCCAGATCGGGGGCACATGTGCCCAGGGTACTCAGGAAAGTCTCTGGATATGAACCCAGAACCTGCCCGCGTGACCGGTCTCGCAGAGCACAGGGCTTTACTGCTGTGCCTGCTCCAGCTCCCAGACGTGTGTTTTAGAGCACTTACTCTGGGGTGGAGAGACCTTCACTGAGAGACCACGAGGAGGTGGCATCAGCTTAGAGGGAGAACAGTGAGGACTCCCTCCCCGTGGCAGACAGAGCTGGGAACAGAAAGGGACGGATTTGAGAGAGTAACTGATTAAGCTGCAGAAATGAGGAAGACACAGCAGTCTAGGCTGACTCAGCGAGGCCCTAGAGGAGGGGGTAGACAGAGACCCCGCTCGGCAGGAGGAAGAAGCACCCATTTGGCAGTAGGGAAACTTGAGCCCAGACTTGCCAGGTGGAAGCTGAGAGTCGAGGTGTGCCCAGAAGCCCACTGGGGAAGAACCAGCAAGCCACGTGCATCTGCACTTGCTGGAAGGCCAGCACTGAAGAAGGGAAGCGAGAAAAGGAGGCCTCTCTCTCACAGTCCCTGCCACCTTTCTGCATGAAGGGACAGACCTGGCTAGAGGAGGAAGGAGGCGTCGGGGAGGGCAGAGCAACTGGGAGGGCTGAGCCACGAGCCCACGCTTAGCCCAGCACCCCACCACCCCGTGTGTGCCACGGCTGCAGCGGTCACCTCGCCGGGGCTCCCTCCCTCGCAGAACACAGAGATGGTCTCTGCTCAGGGCACTGTGGTCGTGTCCTACTCAGTGCCCAGACACTGCACTGCACGCAGAGGCCTGGAGGAAACGGCCAGGGCATGCTCTCCCTGCCCAGCGGCTGAGTATGCCTGTCTGCTTGGGGACTCCTCTGGCTCGGCCGTGCACAGCCCATGGTCCTCCCGCATCAGCCGCGGCAATTGCTCCGCACAGGGCAAAGACCCTCCTGGTTCCTGTGTCTCCAAAGTACACACGGTTCCAGGCGACACTGCCATCTGGGAGCGTGGTGGGGAGGCCCACACCGGGCACAGGTCAGCTGCCTCTTCCCCTCACCCCCCTGCGATGGCTCTCCTTGGCTAGCCCCTGCCAACAACCAGCTGAGTCGCGGGGCCGCCCCCTGGGCCTCGCCTGTCTTCTTCCCCTGGGGTTTACTGCAGTCACCATCTGGAATGTAAAACAGGAAGGGCAGTTAGGCAGGTATGTGCTTGGATATTCGGCAAGTAGGAAACAGCTGCTCCACAGAGCTTGCTAGGGGTCAGCAGACAGTGTAGCGGTTGCGTCACTGGACTCCCACATGGCTACCCGTGGTTCGAGTCCCAGACCTGGTGGCTTGAAAATCACACCGGGTGCATGCATGCCCCAAATCCCAGAAGGAAAATGGAGAAGAGACTACAGCATGGCCATCCTCCCTCACTGTCTCTGTCGTCCGTCTCTCTCCGGCCAGCTCACACATCCGATGGCAAAAATCTCTCTCTCTAAAAAAAGGGGGAGTTTATAAGGATGGATGAAATGTGCAGTGAAGTCACAAAGTGGAGTGTGCTGACAGGCAGGCTACACAGGAGAATAGCCATTGTGTGATTTGACCAGCAGAAATGCAGAGTTATTTCTATCTGGGCCAGCAGATGGCATGGTGGTTAAGGTGCCAGTCCCACAGGGCCTACTGCAGGATTTCTATCCCAGATCTGGCAGCTTAAAAATCATGCCGGATGTGTGTGTGTGTGTGTGTGTGTGTGTGTGCCCCAGATCCCAGAAGAGAATGGAGGAGGGATTGTGGCCATCTCTCTAAGGGGTCCTCTCTCTCTCTCTCCTGGGAGTGCACATGCCCTATGACAAAAATCTTTAAAATAAAATAAAGGTATTTACTTCATGTGAAGTAATCACTATGGGCAAATATGCAGAAATTCAGGGAACAAGCAGTGCGACTGCAGGGGAGCCGGCCTACCTCCTAGTGGCCAGCTCTCTGAGGCTCGGTGCCTGAACCAGCAGGGACTGCACCCCTTGCCCTCTGCAGGAAGTCACTTCCTGTCCATGCAATGCCAGCAGGCAGGCTCTGTCACTAACCGGAGTAGAGAGCCGGCCTGAGACGACTAGGCTGTCCCAGACACCCCACTAGTAAAGGGAAATGAGGCTCAGGTTTGAGGTGGGCAGGCAGCTCCTTAACCATGTGGAACTCCACAGCTGCTTAACCAAGACGTCCCCGCAGCGACTTGACACACACAGAGGAAACCACAGGAGGGCACGCAGGGGGAGGACTTCTCTGCAGAGCAGAGCCTGGTGGGACAGATGCTCTGTGACACTGTGGGAGGGACGAAGCCTTGGGGGCAGGCGCTCAGATTTCCCCAGTGGGCTCACAGAAGGTGGAGTGAAACGGAGGGGCTGGGGACGGGAGGAGAGGGCAGGGGGTGCGGGGACGGCTGGGAGGCGGGGTCCCGGGGTCTGAGCCGAGTCTTCGGAGACAAGAGGCATCTGGGGGGACCACGGGTGACCACCTCTGAGGACCCCACACGGCTACAGATGAAAGCACGGCTTAGGTGCGCACGCTCTCTCCTCTCACTCTGTCCCTCTCTGGCCAAATTAAAATAAATAAATAAAAGTTTAATAAAAAAAAAAAAAGAAGACAAATCGCTGGCTTGCCCCGGCTCAGGGACAGCGGACAGGGGAGAGCCAGTGGGAAGGGCGCAGGGCGGAAACGGAGTAGGGCCTGGCGGGCGGTCACTGGGTCGGTCACTGGGTCGGGCGGGTTTAAATCAGGTGAGGAAGAAGACGCCAGCAGGAAAGCCACGAAGCCGGCCTTCGGGTCCTTACAGGCCGCACCTGGACACGGGCTGCCTGGGCGTCCCCTCTGGTGTGAGCGTCTACACTGGGGTGAGGCGCAGCCCAAGCGCTGTGGTCTGTCACTGGGCGTGACCGACTTGTTCCACCTGGGTCCCCTGCGGAATTGGGACGGGGCAGGGCGGGGTGGGGTGGGGTGGTGGGGCGGTGGCAGTGGCGTAGTTACACGCGCACTTGGTTCCCGTGAGCCTAGATCCCCCAGACTCACCCACCGAGCGGCCTCGGCGTGCACAGAACAGAACCCCCGAGAGAGCGGAGAGGCGGGGACAGGAGTCAGCGCGGGAAGGAACCTTCCAACGGGGCGGGCGCGGGTCCCGGGGAAACCAGCTCCAGGAGAGAGGCGATTTGCAAGGGGAGGTGAAAATGCAAGGCTCCCTTTCTTTTCAAGTGTCAGCTTTGAAGCTTCAGCTTCTCAGGAAATAAAAGCAGCCCGAGGAGGACACCTAGGGGCTGAGGCCAGGGCTAGACTCTCCCCCACGGGAGCCAAATCAGGGCCGTGCTGCTCTGCCCTCTGTACGTCCAGCGGGAAAAGGGCCGTCTGCTCCCGAAGGGGCCCCCTTGCTGTGGCATGTACCATTTAGGGGAAGGAAAAAGTCAGCGTGGAGATCCGATGCGGGAAATGATCTTTTATCAACATGGGTTGCATTCGCAAAGGTCAGAAACTCTGAGAAAGGAACCCCTGCAGGGACGCACAGCCTACCTGTCCCCATGCGGTCCAGTGTGGCCACAGCACCCAGGGCCAGTATGACTCTGTTGGGCAGCTGGTAACTCCACACCGGGTTTAGGGACGTGTACCAGATTCGGAGGACGAGCAGAAGAATCTGTCCTAAAATGAAGCCCCAAATTCGGAGATACCTACAAATGTAAAAGTGCATCATTATTATCATTATTAGTTTATGTGTTCACTTCTTCCACGAGAAAGAGAGAGACGAACAGGCCCTCACACAGGCTCTTTACCCAGCAATTCAGCCAGCCCAGCTCAGGGGCACACGGGTACATACCCCTGTGCATCAGGAGACCCTGAGACCCGAACCCACGACCTTCCCAAGTGGGCCCAATTGCATTATGGCTCTGCACCATTACTTGGCCCTACAAAAGTATTTTAAAGGACTCTGTCTGGGGTCAGCCAGCGGCATGGAGATTGGGCAGCTGGATCCCATGTAGCTGACTACGGCTCAAGTCCCGGACCCAATAGCTTGGAAATCACACCAGGTGTGTGTGCATGTTTGCACAATATCCCAAGAGGAGAGAGGAAGAGACAGAATTGTAGTCTGGCCACTCCCCCGGGGGGGGGGATTTCTCTCTCTCCCTCTCTCTGTCTCTCTTTCTGGAGCATAGGTACCCTGCAGCAAACTAAAACAAATAACAAGAAAACACTCTATCTGGATTCAATGTCCCAGACCCTGTGTACTAAGTCTGGGCCTCACGTGGACATGGCGGAGCCTTTATGCAGCCTAGCAACTTGTCACCATTTTTTGAGTCTCAGAACATGACTGAAACAGATGGCAAATATTTACGTCCTGGTTTTGTAAAAAGGAGACTTCTATAAGGCCACGCGGGAATCATGGCCCAAGCACCCTGCTGTGACCACCACACTCACTTGTCTGTAGGTGGAGAAGGTACGAACTCACCTCTGCAAGCCACCTCCTGACCACCACGTCACAGCCTGCACGATCAGCGAGGAGGACACGCCCAGAGCGAGGACCGTCAGCCGAAGTGTGGCATTAGGAGCGTGGAAGGAGGCAACGCCGCCTGCAGTCGAATTAAGGAGAGCTAAGCGTCCGGCAAGCACGCACGAATGCTACGCCATCTGCATTTGCTAAAGGCTGCATCTGATAGTACATGTCTTTTCAATTTGTTCAATGAAATATAATCACATACCATAAAATTCATCATGTGAAAGTTTGAGTATATTCACCGAAGCTCAGCAACTGCCACCGCTATCTAACTCCAGAACAATTTCATCGCCCTAAAAAGAAACCCCACACTCCGCATTCCCTTCCTCCCTACCCAGTCCTCGGCCTATAGATTGCCCGATTCCGGGCATTGCACGTAAATAGACTCATACAACACGGGCCTTTTGTGACTGATTTCTTTCCTTTAGCGCAGTTGTTTCAAGGTTCATTCACGCTGTAGCAGGGGTCAGTACTTCCTGTGTAGGCTTAATAATATTCTGTTACAAGGACATACTGCATTTTATTTACTCATGCATCAATTAACGTACATCTTTTTTTTTTTCTTTTCAAATTTGCCAGAGGATGCATGTGATCATCAGAGAGAGACAGAGAAAGTGAAAAAGCAGCTCCCCGTGGGGGATTGTCAGCCACAATCCCTTCTCTTCCATTTTTCCCTCCTTTCGGGCACACACTCACACACCCGGCATGTATTTTCAAGTTCCCAGGTCCAGGATTTGAACTGCACAGTGGGCCATATGGGAGCCACTTGCCTTAACCACCAGCTCACCAGCTGGCCCACAATCTGTTTTTTAAAAAATCCTCTCTCAGAGATATTTTATGCATGTCCAATCAAATAGTAAATCTATTTTCAGCCAGAACTTTTCACAGGAATGTTAACATTCCTATGCTCTGTTCGATACTTCTCTTTTCTTCACTGAATATATTTTGAATATCATTCCTTTACTCAATAATATTCTCATTTTGATAGTGGTATAGTATTCCCAGTTTCATAACCATAATTTATTAGATTCCTTAGCTATGATGGGTTATTTCTAATTGTGCTGTTACAATATTGTGATGATTAAATCATTTTTTATTTTCACCATTTTACATAGATGAGAATATATCTGTAGCTTATATTCCTAGAACTGCTGGCCAAAAGGGTACGCACATAGTTGTAATTCTGACGCCTGCCACTCCACGGCCCTCCCGAGCTGAGCCAGTGCCATCAACACCTGCATCTTTTTTCCCTACCCTGACGATGCATCAGACATTGTTCTTTGCCAACCAGTTTGTGAAGCTACAGTTAAATATGTGTTTATAATATGTATTGTGTATATTTTATTATATATATTTTAATTATTTATTTTATTTTATACAAACCATGAATGGTCATGCGAGAACCCAGCACCTTAACCACCATGCCACCTGCCAGCCCCTATTTGTAAGTACTTTTAATAGTTGTATGTCCTGGGAACCAGCAGTTAGCATAATGGCTATGTCGCTGGACTCCCACGTAGTCGACTGTGGTTCGCCTCCCGGACCCGGTGTCTTAAAACTCACACCGGCCACGTGTAAATGTGTGCCAAAGATCCTGAGAGGAGAACAGAGGAGAAGGGATTGTGGCATGGCCATCCCCCCTGAGGGTGATTTCTCTCTTTCTGTCTGTCTCTGTCTCTCTGTCTGTCTGGCGAGCGCACGCACCCTATAGTGAAAAATAAAATAAAATTAAAAAAAACTCTTCAAAAAAAAAAAAAAGTTGTATGTCCCTTCCAGTCAACTGATCATATCCTCTGCCTATTTTTTTTTTTTAAAGATTTTTATGCGAGCTCACCAGAAAGAGAGAAACAAAGAGAGAGAAAGTGAAAAATCACCCCCAGAGGGACTGCCATGCCTCAATCCATTCTTGAGATTCTGGGTACACTGCACAAATAAATGCTCAGAGTGTTTTTCAAGTCGCCGGGTCTGGGACTCAAACTTCAAAGTGGACCTATGTAACCACAACATCCCCTGCTGGCCCCTGGCCTTTTTTATTATTGGTTTGTATTATTATTCTATATATTAGGAAAATTGACCCTTGGCTAAAAGAGTTGCAAATAATTCTCCAAGTTTGTTGTTTGATTTTTTTTTTCTTTCTTCATAACAGAGCATGTGCACACGCATGTGAGAGTGTGTAAGTGAGACAGTGGGGTATTAACGCCCCCAGAATCTGATCCTGCTGCCCCCTTCCTCAGTCCTCGGGCCTGTCGGAGCTGGGGCTCTCATGTGGGCCCAGCTTAGTTCTGGCTTCCTGGTCCGGGCTTCGATCCACAGTGGCCGGGAGGGATCCAGCCTGTGCTTTGCCAGAGCCAGTGATGTCTGAGTGGGCTGATGCCTGTCACGCATAATTTCCATATTTCTTATGCAGTATTAGCTAACGCTCCTTCGTTAATGGCTTCTGAATCTTGTGTCACAGTGGAAAGAACACAGTATATTCAAGAGTTTGTCTATGTTGCAAGGTATTGTCATCCTCCCCATTCCAGTGAGCTTTAGGCCTCTCCAGCCTGGCAGAAATGTTAGAAATGTAAAAATACATTGAATCTCAACCTAGTCTTCCATTTTCTTTAAAAAATTATCTATTTATTTTACTTATTATATATTTTTAAGTTTGCTATAGGGCATGTGTACTCATCAGGCAGAGAGAGAGAGAGAGAGAGGGAAAATGAGAAAACAAGCCACCAGGTCTGGGACTCAAACTGCAATTGGCCATGGGAGAGTCTAGTCCCTTAACCACCACGCCACCTGCAGGCCCCGAGTCTTCCAATTTGACTAAGGTAGTATTAAGAAAAAGAGAAATAATTGGTTGTATTAAATCATTTAGACTCCAAAGAATAATCTAAATAACTTCACTTGTTTAATTTAAAAAAAAAAAAGAAAAGAAAAGAAAGAAACTTGGAGTCAGAGAGGTCGTGGTGGTTAAGGCTCTGAACTCCCACATGACTGACTATGGTTCAAGTTCTGGGTCCAATGCCTTGAAAATCATGCCAGGCGCATGTGCATGCGTGCCCAGGATCCTGAAAACAGAATGAAGGATTGCAGCACGGTCATCCACCTCGGGGCTGATTTTTCACTTTCTCTCTTTCTCTCTCGGTCTCTCTCTGGCAAGCGCATGTACCCTTTAGCAAAGGAAAAAAAAAAAAAGAAGAAGAAAATTTGAGGAAACACTTTCACTTCTTACCAATAGTGATTACCCGCAGCAGGCTTAGCATCCACTTCCTGTTAGCCAACTTCCAGAAAGGAGGCACTGCGAGGAGTACGGGAGAAAGGATTGCTACACCGAAGACCTCCAGCCCCGTGAGTTCCAGCGTTTGCAGAGGGAAGTAATAGATCATTGGTCCTAGGTCATGGTAGAGAGACCAGGAAATATATCCTGCAAAAACGATTTAAAAGAGAAAGAAAAGGTGCGTCTTCGTCACTGTTAGCAACTGTAGCCCTGCCCCTGCCACATCACTGCCCAGCCTCTTCTAGGACTCGGGCCTTACCTGGGTTGCAGTACCAGCATGCCTCTCCTCCCAGCCCGGCTGGCCCAGTGCAGAGCCACTGCCTGCCTGTCAGGTTGAGTCCCTCAGCGTCCCTCCTTTGTCCCTTTAACGCCACCCCTGACCCTGCAGGGAACCCCTTGAGTAAGTCCTGTTCATCTGGACCACCTGAGCGGAATCTGGCTTCCTGTCCACACCTGAATGATCAGATTTCCTAACCTGAGCTGACCCCTGTATAGCGAGAAATATGAAGATCAAAACGAGCCAGAAACAGCAGGACTCCGCCCTCCCACCCAGACTGCAGGCACAGGCTTTGGGGTTAGGGATAGCCACTTTCTTGTGTAGACGCTTTTAAATCAGCCTTTAGGGGGCGCTGCAGGCAGCAGGGTGGCCAGACCTGAAGTCAGGGGCACCCCTGCCAACCACTGACGAAGACCTTGAGACAGTGCAAAGTGCTGAGGGTAACCCAGTCCCCTCCCTTAGTCCTCACCCAGTCCCGACCTCAGCGGTGGATACCGTTTCTACCCCCGTCCTACAAATGCAAAAACAGACAACACAAAACCCTGAAACCCAGAAAGCACGCAGAGGGCCTAATGACACATAGGCTGCAAAGGCTGAGCCTGAAGGGGAGCGGCCTGGGCCCAGGCGTCACAGGCTGCCCGGTCTCACACTGGCAGCTCCTCCCAGCGACTTGCCCGCCTCCGTTTCTCAATCAGAAAAATAGGACCTTTAAGCACCCCCAGAGGTGTCAAGGATCAGAGATCCAGCGCCTGGCACCTGGGTACTTATTAGTCTTTTTTTGTCTCCCAGTTGGTAAGATATAGATGGACCAGAAGATTCTGACGCCTCCCCAGGAACTGCGAGCTCCCGGGAAAATCGGTTCCCAGCAGGTGTCCCGTCCCGGCTGGCAGATGCTGGCTCCATAATGAACCTGGGAGTGGATAATGGAATGGCAAATTCCCGACGTTTGTCTGGGAACCGATTTTAATCGCACAGCTCCCACAGGAAAAGACCCGCCGGCTGTCCTTGGTGCTTCTCCGCAAGGCTGCCGGGGGCGCCCAGGACTCGAGGCGAGGCTGCCCCAGTGCCCGCGGCGCAGCCCCCACTGGGTCACTGCCGGGCTGAGGCAGGTCGCCACGGCCGCTGGGGAAAACGGATGCCCTTTTCCGTCTGAAAGCTAAACTTCCGAACTGACTTGGGTGAAGTTACACTTCAAGGTCCCGGGTGAGGCTCTGAGGGCGGTGCCGGCCGCGCGAGTTCAAGGCCCACACCTGGCGAATTCGCAGCCCTTGCGCGCAATCCCTAGGCGGCGTGGGAGCTCCGGAGGCGTTGTCTCCCGCGGGCGCCTCCGGGAGTCCTGGGCTTCGGAGCTCCGTCTGGGTCATTCTACTCCCTTCGGGAGCAGAAGTGCCCAAGGGACGATAAGCATCGCCTTCTGGGCGCGGAGCGCAGCCAACTGGGCGACCGCGCGGCTCGGGACCAGACCGGGAGCCAGCACCTACGACCGCGGCTCGGGACGGAGCGGGGACCCG